ACACTCACCAGTTCTTCCCCAAACAGAATACACCCACACGGCACACTTGGCAAATTTTCATGCTCTAAGAAAAGCCATTATAGAAGAGACTGTACAGGCTAAATTATGTCTTAGCAAGCTGTGAAAAAGCTGTGAAAAATGTGAATTTTGTGTTAGAGATCATTAGGAAATGGGCTGAAAAATAAAACAGCCAATGTTATATTGCTTTCATAAAAAAAATCTATTGTGGAATAGTTTGGGATGCTATAATTCCAAAATGTCTCAGTAGCACTGAGGAAACTGGGGGGGGGGGGAAAGACTGATTGAATTATCGAGAAGATGAAGTCCAATTCTCTAATACAGAAAAATGATTTTAAAAAAATTTGTTTTTAAGTCATGGCAACTAAACCTAGGTACATGATATAAGAAAATGGACTCCAGACTTCCAGTCTTGCATTGTAGTGACACGGCTGAGAGATTGCGGGGCTCTGCACCCCATGGCTGGTTTCGCCCTACCAAGGGACCCTAAATGGGTTTAAAATCGCCCCGGAGAAGTGATGAAAAAGGAGCCCCCCCACACTGATTGCAGAATGATGGCAGTTGATCCACTCAATCTGGGGGAAGCCCTCCAACTCAACAGAAGAAAAGCTAGTCACACCTTGCTGACTAGCCCAAGCTACAGGCAGCTGAAGTCCAAAAGCACTAATAAGAACAATGGTGAACAGCATGCTTAGAACTGGGTGAGAATATCGATCTTCTCTCTCCTGTTTTGTAATTGATTTCCTGGAAAAGATCCCCAAGAAACAAAAAGTCCTCCGAAACTGAGAAGGGAGGGGACTACACCTGCACCCTTCTATAGACGGAAGCCATGAATTAATGTTTATGGGGGACTGAAATATGTTGAAATAAAGTTAATAATACTACAGTCTGGATAAATCTGAATATTATGAAAACTGTTAAGATTTCACATCTGAAAGAGTATTGATGAAACTAAAAGGAAATAATTCTTTGTCTTAAAAGTTGGAAAATGAATAGACACTGACACCTAGTGAAGGATCAGAGCATAACTATAGCTGCATTCACTCAAAAATTGGCAAGATGCCCAGAAATAAAAAAAACTTGTTCCTTTGAATCCCAGTGATTTTCAGCTAAATAAAAAACATCTGGGAACAGAGGAAAGAAAACACAAGGGCCATCTACTACAGAGTGAGAACAACATTTGTTTGAAAAACTGTTGACCTTCTGGGACTATAAATACTCACTGAGCTGTAATTTCTAAGCCCAATAATTGTTTGCAGAGAAAGAAAAACCTTGACTCTTGGGTAATCTTCTAGAGGGGAATTTACTGAAAAGCATTTAGGTGGCTAAACATTCTGGACTGCAATTTTGGCTTGTTGATAATTCTAAGACCCCTGAACAGAAGAACTGTTATAAAACACTGCTTTCAATGATGCCTTGACAATTGGAAATGCATTGGACTACAAAAGTCATATATAAAGATAAGAACCATATAAGATTTGGTTGTTTGGATTTTAAGATTGGCGGGTTTCATAAGGCTAATCACAGAGACTATGATATCGGTGAAAGACTGTCTGGAGGGGGGAGACAAAATGGATGTTGCATACCTACCTAAAAGTGACAGGAAACCACATCTAATATTCCCTTCTGAAGACCCTAGCCTGGAACATCAGAGATCTGCAGAAGCAATACTCCAAGGCAAGGCAAATACTTGCCAGGAGGAAATTTATGCAATGCTGCGACAGATTCAAATGACAATGATTTTAAACCATGATGAGATTAAAAACAACTTTGATGACATAAATGAGCATATTCTCAACCTAAATGTACAATTAAAAAACTTTCAGAAAATGATGATAAAGAATGTACAAACAAATCAGATAATAGAATGCAAACCAGAAGAAAGTGACTTAAATAAGGAAGCTACAAATGAAGAGAACTACAACTTAACACAAACAGAAGAAAATCTACAAGATTTTGCCACAACAATGAAAATGGAAAAGATATTTTATCTTTCAGGACTTCAAAACAAATTCGAGGATAAGAAAGAAGATCTAACAAAATGGATTATAGAGCTGCCAGGAGAATCATTCGAGTCTGGGAGACAAAAAGTGTACATCATACTCAACTTGTTTCTCTTATTCCCAACAACACTTACAAAAATACAGGAACATACTGATTTGGAAAGGTAAAAGAAGAAGGCTAGAGCTTTGATTCAACCTACCAGATGGAGTGCTATATGATTAAACACTTGTTTGAATATGGTTAAAAGAATAGATAAATTTTGGATGTAAAGGGGCTCTACAATAAGAGGGATAAGATATGTAAGTAGTATAGTATTTTTTATAATACATGAAATGTAAAAATATTGGGATGACCTATGTGAATGAAAAGTTTGGATATTTAAAGGTAATCAATTTTGAGAAAATTATGACTGATAATTTAGTTTGAATACTGAGGAGAAATTAAGCTTAAATAAGAATTTTGAAAACAGGACACATAGTGACTTAATAAGATGACTTTTACAAATACAATTGAAACATAAGCCAACCAAAAAAGATGTTATATAGAGATGTTATTGTTATTTGTACAAACACACAAAAATGTTTATATCCAACTTTATATGTATTGAAAATATTGAGAATTATATTTGTTTAGTGTTGACAAAAGAGAATACTATTGGAAGAAGAGAAGATCAAGAAAACATATTATTAATTAATATATTGGTTATGGAATTATACGAATTAGTCTCTATTGAGTGTTTTTTAAATATATGAACTCAGACAACACACTGTTTACTAAGCACTAAAGATTGTTATTGTAAAAAACCAATAAAATATATTTTTTTTAAAAAAGAAAAGAAAATGGACTCCACCAACCTTCAATATTTCAACTGCAGAACATCCCATGGAATATAATACTATAAAACTTAGGAGAGATCAAAGAAATTCTTCTGCGGGTTTTTTTTTCTTTTAGCAGAGTTTGATAAAAATGACAGCCATCGACTTGGTTAATTGTATCAAAGAATGCTGTTCATAGTGGCAATACTATATATAGTATTGCCACTATTGCCACTTTTAATCGGATCAGATTTAAATATTTCTTTTTAATTAATTTTAAATGTGTACTGTATTTTTGTATTTTATCTGATTGTTAGCCGCCCTGAGTCCGTAAGGAGAAGGGCGGGATATAAATGTAATAAAATAAAATAAATAAATAAATAAATAAATAAATAACTTCTACTTTTATAAACAGTCTGTTTCTAAACTCTAGGTGCAAAGGTGACCCAGAAGTCCCCAAGAATTGCTACAAGAATTGTTAAATCAATACAGCCCAGTATCTCTTGATAGCAGTAAAGAGAACGATATCCACTGACTTGAAAAAATGGGCGGAAAAGCTGAGGATTTTAACCCTGGAGGACTGATAGGTGCAATTGCATAGATATACTGAAGCAGGCATACATGTACATACAAAGCAAGTACACCTCTCTACTCTGGATCTATAGCTTCATTTTTGCCTACAGTAAAGAAACTAGTCATGCCCCTAGAATAAGATTTCTGCCAAATCAAATCCTCTCAATATGGAGTTTAGGACTTGGAAAGGTTTAAGTCTGGCATGAAGTCTGACAGAGTCTGAGTTAAAGGATCTCCTTAAAATCTACTTGGCTTTATGGGAGAAGAACATAGCAGAATAGTTAAGCCTTTGAACCAAGAAGGTTGTTATGCTTTTTAATTTGCAGTTGAATGTGTGGGTGTACGTTTGTATATGTAACTCCGAATGCAATGTCTTCTGGTATAGTAATTGTTACTTGGAGATAAAATCTGTAGAATGTATGATTTTTATATGTATGGCTTTATATGAAAACATGTATATATTTTGCAGTTAATATTTCAGATATACTGATTACAAAATTATATCTATGGGATTACAGTTACATTTTCTTCAGACTGTAGCACAACTAAACTGAGTGGGAGTTCATGGCTTTAAATTTATCTCTAAAATACTTGAAATGTGATTATCTTGAAATGATCTTTAACCTCTAATAATCAGTGGAACAATGGACACTATATTTAAAAGAGAGGCTGAATAATTTGAGCTGCTGAGATATATAAAGCTAAAGAGTAAGTTCTTCATGTGCCAGCAGTGAAGTGTTCAAATTAAGAACCAGTGATGCTTATGGCCGAATCTACAGTATAGGCCTCCTTCAAAGAGATACAGTCTTTCCTAAGCTTCTAGAAGATTTGGACTTCAGATTCTGTAACACTCCACTCTGAATGGTGGGCTCAATTGTGGCTGTAAGTCAAGGACTATCTGTACTTGTGTAGCCTTGAATTCCACCCTTTATGGACTTTGTACATGCTATATATTTTTTACTTTCAAATTTTACAGTCCCTGTAAAATTGTCCATTATGCCCCACCAAAATTGGAATAACTTTCCTAGGGCTAATGAACAGAGAATATGTCCATTGGGATATTTTCTTATGTTCTTTTCTTTTATATGGAAGTTGCACACATGGACAGTAGTTACTATTGTATAATCCCCATTCATTTTAGTAAATGCTCATAATCCTCCATTAATTAATATCTGTTTTTCACATTGAAATGTACCCAATATTCATATCTTAGGCTAAAGAATGAGAAAGTGTTCATATGAAGAAACAGTTCCTGGGATGACTCCAATACATGACAAATGTCTCTATTTGACCTGACGCCAGAAGGATAGGTTGCAAAGTTAGACTTAATGGATAGATGAATGGATGAAAGGCTTGATGGAAGACTTTGGATGAACAGATGAATGGATGGATGGATGGATGAACAGCAAAGCTCTTAAGTCTTGCTTAAGTTCTGTGAATCTTATGCATAAACTTAATGAGCTAGAATATCTGTTCATATATTTCATCATGCCTTTCTTTGAGTTTATATGTGATCAAGTATTTTGTGTGAATTTATTTCCCAGTGAAGTAGTTTGTAAGGGGTTGGGGTTGGGCATTCATTTTGCTTACCCGCTTCTTTTAGTGTTCATTAGCCACTGTACAAAATCTTGAGCCCGTCTGGTGTCCAAGTACTTGCTGTAATCGCTGGTGAATGTACCTTGTGAGTGACGTTTAACTTCATTCAGCTGTCTAGGGTCATCTAATGGTTCAGCCTGGGAAGCTTTGAATGATCTATAAGTGTGGTTTGTAACAAATTAATTGCACTGAAGATTGCACATTTGAAAGGTGCTGCACGGTGTATCGACCTCCTTCAAAGATATAGATGCATTCTAAAAATAACTGCTATTAGAAAGGGTCATTAGTCGCCTAATTACTACTGAGTAACAGGAGAAATAGATGCTGTTTAGACAACAAAAAGAACTATGGAAAGCATTAATAACTTGACATGTTGTTGACTTATCCAGTTTTCAAAGGTAGGGTGGGGGAGAAAAAAGCATTAGTGTTTTAAAAAAATTTCCATTTCTGTCTGCCCTCCAATACAAGAACAATCCATTGTCCACATATGGATTTCTATTGCATTAAAAATTATGACATTTACCTGGCTTTCTCTTCTGTCTCTTGAAGGGGGCTTTGCCAGCTGCTCTGAGCAATCATTAAAAGCAATCCAGCAACGAAGTAACAAAATCGTTTCATTTCTGCTACCTGTGGACAAGGAGGGAGGAAACACAGTCAAGCCAACATATTTCAACCCCATTTGTATGTAAAGGTGAGAGTGGTGTGGTGGCCTAGTGGTGAAGACACTTGCTCCCACTTGGAAGGTTGAGAGTTCAATCCTAGGTAGTGGCAGATATTTCTCTCCTAGGGTGCAAAGAAAAAATATTTGCTGTGAGCTCTGTGTGGTGTCAGGAAGGGCATCCGGCCAGTAAATGTTCAGCTCCATCCAATTGTCCTGGATCTACCCTGAATTAAGGGATTAAAGGGTCGTAAAATAGAGGGTTTTTTGTATATAAAGGTGCACTCTGCACTCTGACTTCAAGCCATTTAAGATTGATTCAAGCAACATGTTAATGCAGTGAAGCCAATCATACTGTATGGGAAGCAATCTTGTGATAGATCTCTTCAAGATCAATATTGTATACTCAGATAACCAGCTCTCTGAACAACTTTCCTTCCTATCCTTTGCTACAAATCCTTTTAACGGAAGATGATGGGGACTTGGTACTTTCTACTGGCTAAGCCTTGATGACAACAATCACAACCACACGACCTATCTCCATGCTAGGCTCTACAGTCTTGGCAGTTACCAGCACAAGGCAAAGTGCTCCTATTCAACATTTTTAAAATGCTACCTTAAGGCAATATATTTCTTTTGAATTTCCAAGGACTCTTTATCAACCAACATAGCTAACAATTAAGAAAAAAAGGGGAAACCCCAACTAGATTAAGTAACTAACTTGACAGTGGGTTTCAAATATTATAATATCAAGAAAAAAATCCACCCACAATGGATGCAGTGCATTACCATTGCAAAACCATCAAAATCAACTAGACAAGTTTCCCTGCATTTAGGAATTCAGCACTGGCCTGCCTTGGTGTGAAGTAAAACTTCTTACCTATTTGAAAACTGTGGAGAAAGAGAGAGAATACAAATTTAGTTGATTTCCATTTCTTCTGTCACCAAGCAGTAAAATTCTAAACAAATCTTTCATATCCTGTTGAAAGTCAAATATCTTATCTAGCTTTCTACGGATCACTGCCAACAAGGAGCAGAACTTAACAAGAGGTGATTGAATCAAAGTCAAATTAAAAGAAATGAAACTGGAGTACATCACTCATGTTTGATTTATGCTTTTTATTTCAGTGGACCTTAGCTGTGACTTTTTGCTTGTTTATTTCATATACTAACTTCTAAATTATGCATTGCACATACTACTATCAATGTTCGTGTTCTCTTTCTTCTCACCTTCAGTTATAATGCTCAGTTCTGCTTTTATTTGCTGGTGTCCTTTAGTGGTGCAATGCTGCCTCCCAGTGCTTCTGTATAAAATGGCATGTTCTTTCTTTCTTTCTTTCTTTCTTTCTTTCTTTCTTTCTTTCTTTCTTTCTTTCTTTCTTTCTTTCTTTCTTTCTTTCTTTCTTTCTTTCTTTCTTCTCTCTCCTTCCCTCCCCCCCTCCCTCCCTCCTCCCAAAATATCTAGACTCTTTCCTATATATCACAGCAGCTCCACAGAACATAATCTTCATAAATTCATGCAGGAATTGGACATACTGAACCAGAACAAGTGGCATAGGAAAATATATTGAAACTCAGTTCTCAAGATCCACATCTGTATTCTATGATTGTATCAACATTTCATGCAGGAGTTTGGAATTTTCTGGAGATTGCTAATAGCAGAAGTACTGAGTTGCCCCTGACTCATGCAATATCCCTGCCATCATGAAAGAAAAGGATATAAGTGGAACTGGAAACATATATACCAGAATCATTCTATGAGGGAGATGGTTGCTCTCTAAATACAATAAATAAAAATATTCCAGATTGTTTCCTTACATTTAAAACACAAGAAATATAACATCTTCAGTCATCCTCAGATAAGATAGTAAAAACAGGAGTGGCTTGACTAGCCTAAGTAATTTCATCATATAATCTTTGTTTAAAAAATAAAGAGAAAAGAAATCAGATATATACAATACAAACAGCTACCTGAAATATTTTAGTTGTACTGGTAAAGACAAGATGACCGAAGAATGGGAATTAATCTATTGGTTCCGGAATGTTAGAAAACACAACCTTTTTAGAAAATGAGAGTGGCCCTTGTACAGGACACTGGAGATGCAACATAACATCTACTGAGACTACGATTCCCCAGAAGAACATCCATTGGTTTTCAAAATGCTTTTATGCACAGCTTTTTCTGCTGCTCTATCTCAGAAATCTTATTAAATCAAAGAATAGCCTAAGTAATGAGTTAAATCACAATGCCTTGACTGATTTTATGACTATTTCAAAATTGCCTCCTGCAGCTCAGACGCTCTCCAGATATAGACTTTAGTTCTAAGAATTCTCACCAACGGTTATGTTGGTTGGGGGATTCTGGGAGTTGATGTTCATATATTTAGCAGGTATCCAAATTAGACAAGGCTGCCCAAGCACCACCAGACAACTGCTGTTCATCAGCAAAGATAGGAAATTTCAGATGAACCATCCCAGGTTGCATTGGCTCTAAAGCTGTCCCTAAACTTCTATACACATTTAGAATAGCTGGACAATTAAAAAAATTACCTGATATTTATATTGATTACAGTTATGTTTTCTGGTTCTTCAAAAAGCTTGCTGTGAATAGAGCTTATGAATTTCCAACAATTGTTATTCAAGGTATTGTGTAGTGAACAGATTGCCTTAGCTCTTGTCCCTCAAATCGGATTTACCTTGTTTTTTTCTACTTATTGTTGATAAGATCAATGTTTGGAATTTCAGACTGTAATTATATTCATAATTACTATTAGTATATCCTTCAGATTATTTTTTTTTAATTGGAAGCACACCTTTGTTTAATTCTTCACAGAGAAAAATGTTGAAATGTCCCATTTTTAAAAAATAGGAAATGAGTTACATAGTTCTGTTTTACTTGTTAGATTTCTTAAAAAGAGAGATATCTCTATATTACATCTAAATTGCAAATTAAAAATACTGTAAGAATCTGTTCCACCTCTTATTTTAAAGGGCCCATGCTGTTTTTGCTTGGAATCAGGATTGCAATAATTATTTATTTGGATTCTTTTTTATTGTGATTAACAGCTCAAATCTGAAACATGTGTGTTTCCAAATAAGATCCAAGATCTCCAGAGTGATTTACTTGTCTAGAAAATATGGATTGCATTTCGTACGGCGGCAGCAGCAGACAATCTAATGTCACCCAGATATTTGGACGTCTCAGTTGCAGCTCCCAAGGTTGAGGGTAAAAGACTGTTGTAATTGCATCTGGACAGCAACAATTTGCCTATCCCTGATGTGTGTATTTGTATGTGTGTCTGTATGTGCGTACACAGTTACATACATATGCATGTAGAGGTAGTCCTTGACTTACAACCACAATTGAGCCCAACATTTCTGTTGTTAAGTGAGACATTTGTTAAGTGATTTTTGCCCCATTTTACAGTCTTTCTTGCCACAGTTGTTAAGTGAATCACTGTAGTTGATACGCTAGTAACATTGTTGTTAAGTGAATCTGGCTTCCTCGTTGACTTTGCTTGTCAGAAGGTTGCAAAAGGAGATCACATGACCTTGGGACACATCAATGGTCATAAGTATGAATCAGTTGCCAAGCATCTGAATTTTGATCACATGACCACGGGGGATGCTTCAAAGTGTGAAAAACGGTCATAAGTCACTTTTTTCAGTGTCGCTGTAACTTTGAATGGTTACTTAACAAACTGTTGTAAGCCGAGGACTACCTGTACATAATATATTTATGTATATGTATATATATATATATATATATATATATATATATATATATATATATATATATATATATATATATATATATGTATATGTGTACATATACTATATATATGTATGTGTATATCATATATGTACATATATATGTCACATATAATTGTATCTTGTTTCAACAATTTATAGAAAATTGGCTGTGTTAGTCTACAACAGCAAAATCAGCCAAGCCTCTTATAGTATCAATAATAATAATAATAATAATAATAATAATAATAATAATAATAAAGTTGGAAGGGACCTTGGAGGTCCTCTAGTCCAACCCCCTGCTGAGGCAGGAAACCATTTCAGACAAATGGCTGTCCAGTCTCTTCTTAAAAACTTCCAGTGTTGGAGCATTCACCACTTCTGGAGGCAGGTTGTTCCACTGGTTAATTGTTCTAACTGTCAGGAAGTTTCTCCTTAGTTCTAGGTTGCTTCTCTCCTTGATTAGTTTCCATCCTTTGGTTCTTGTCCTGCCTTCAGGCGCTTTGGAGAATAGCTTGACTCCCTCTTCTTTGTGGCAGCCGCTGAGATATTGGAACACTGCTATCATGTCCCCCCTCGTCCTTCTCTTCATTAAACTAGACATACCCAATTCCAGCTGCCGTTCCTTATATGCTTTAGCCTCCAGTCCCCTAATCATCTTTATTGCTCTTCTCAAGAGCAAGAGTCTTTGATTCTAAGTACATTAACACTTTCAATCTAAATACTTTCTTTCCCATTCCTAGTGATTTCAATAGAATTTACTTTTAAACATCTTTTTCCAGATGACAGGCTCTACACTTATGCTGAAACTGGAATTTGAAAATGAAATAGCCAACACACAGCAAAAGTGATGTTTGATACAATCCAACATCCATTAACAGATCATGGTTTCCAGTAGCGCTACTCTACACCTTTCCAATATTTTTATTGGTAAGTACAATAGTCATATGAATTCTTTTCTGAAATAAACTCAGAAAGGAGAAGAGCGGGATATAAATCTAAATAATAAATAAATAAATAAATAAATAAATGGTTTTCAAGAGAAATTATTATTCTGAAAAGGGAAATCAAAACAACAACAATTCTCTCAATTTGCGAGCATAGGCTAGCAAATTGTATGCACGCCATCACCTTGATTTAAAGCACTCTGTAGGTGAAACTGAAGTAAAGTAATTGCTTTCTTTGCTGGGAGCTGGAGAGCAAGTAATGC